ATCCATCCTTCATTGAAATAAAGGCCATTAATGAAATACAAATATCTTTATGAGTATCGGTACATCTAAAACATCTTTCTCTGTTATTTCTTGTTGATTCAATGTGGTGCTACTCTTATGGTTTCAACTGAACAGCTTCAGGGTGTTATATCCCTGTTCTGATGCAGAAAGGCACAAGGCAGATGTCCTCTGGGTTTTGAAATCCATGAGGTCTCCAACAAAGACTGGCCCACCTCTACTAATGCAGGGACAGACATGCTCAAGTACAAGGCTCTGAGTAGGGGCAGATGAGGGCTGTTGTCAGGTGACCCACGACCTCCAGGATTGTTGCAGAAATACTGATATTTTATAGATTAAAATTTAAGAGTGGAAGCTAAGTTTAAACTTAGTTGGACTCTGTAATTTGCAAACTGCAGACCTGGAACGCACAGTGATCATGTATCGTGGCCTTGGACAATCAAATTCCTGACTAAACCAGACAGGCCTGGAACTGCCTGGCCAGGTGCACATTGTTTAGAATGAACCATTGTTTATCCCTCCAGTGAACCTGCTTTGTTAGAAGAATGCTACATAGACTTGGTGGCACGACAAGGACAGCTCTTGACAGCCGAAGGTTCCAAACTATGTTCCGAGACCTTCAAATTTGACAAGTAGTCACCTAATTGGATCTTCCTGTCCCCACCCAATGCTGGTATTGGACACAAGCAAACAAATCTTCAAGAGGGGCGAGAAGCCAGGGATAAAATGAGCAACTGAGAGTCCCAGCTCACTCTGCCTTGGCACTTTCTGCAATGGCATCTCCAGAGACCCTGTTTGATTAGCAGCCAAGCTACACAGCATCACCAGCTCCCTGTGCCTTGTAGCCAGCATCATCAGACCGACCGGACCCAGAGAGACCACCTCAGTGAGGTGACCCGATGATGAGAGCCAGCTCTAGACTAGAAGGGAAGCCCAAATCAATGAGTGCAGATCCTGAAACATCAGGCAACCCTCAAAGACTGAGGAGTAGCCTGTCCCAGCCTTATTGAATGTGTAATGCCAGCCCTTTCAGGCATGCAGTTCTAATACAGAGGTAGGGACCTGGGGATAGGGTGTAGTGAGTCCTCAGAAGTGCATGTCAGAAGTAGACAGCTAGTGTAGATTTGAGGCTGTTTACTTAGAGATATAAGACTATTTACCGAAGAGTCCTGTGCAGAGATTGTTTGGTAGAATTTAATTAAAGTACAATGGAGAGTCTGATAAATATTGTTTTTCCTTGATAAAGAGTTCAATAAAGTTGTGTTGGACCTTCCCCTGACTCTTATCCCCTTTATCTATACCATGTAATGTGACTAAGTTAAAAACAGTTACTGCAAACTGGCCAAGGTTAATCAGGTACATTACCACCTTTCACTTTACAACAGAGCTGAAAGTAAGAGTGTCTTTCTTTATCTTCCCTCTCAGACAGCATGTACACTCCTGAGAAAGGGAACGCATTGTTGCTTGTCAGTGAAACATTCAGCCATTGTTGCATCCTCAAATGATACTGGAGACAAAAGCGAGTATTGTTTCAAACAAGGCAATTTATTATGTAATTGCACGTAAAGGATACAGAATGCAGAGAATCTTTTTTTTCCCAGCTCACAGGTCACTTAGTACATTTATATCCTGTACAATCATGTCAGATGTTCAGGCATCTTACTTATCACAAGATTACAAGTTACCTGGAAACAATACAATATTTGTAATTCTGGATAAGTCACTGGTCAATGCATTCTACAGTGCTCATGTTTTTTGTGAAGATAACTAGTTCCTCCACTTTGCACATTCTAGTATGATCATGCCTCTTTCTGTCTCAAAACATTTCTCCATTCTGTCTGCTTACAGTGGTTACTACTGTGCAATATTGTTGGAACCTCTGCCCTACATGGACTAAAATGATTACGTCCCCTTTGTTGGTTTGAAACAGGTTTCCACTTTTCATTTTCTGTCATCATTTCTCTAGAGGGTTAAACAATCCCTACTTTACACATATTGTAATTGTCCTGCTCTCTTTTAAAATTTTGATTTTTTTTGCATTAGTTAAATATGTCTTGATCCCTTCCAAAACCTACAGCCATTTGTTAACCTTATATCTAGCTGGCTATTAATCTACTTTAGAACAGACTAATGCTGGCTGAAGGGACAGACTGAGTGTGCAGGCCATTGATAAGGGACAATACTGAGTCTGATTCTCCACATATCACTATTTCCACAGATTCTTTTCCCACCAGTTGAGGAAAAGGTGCCTTTCTAACGTCCACTTAATTGGTTGCAACAAATATTTTTATTTGTTTTTTAGTACATAGCTATAAAACTTTGATTAAAGTACAATCAACTAGATCAACATGAAGGAACTATAGTCACAAGGTTTTCTTATGTGAAAGATGGAGCAATTTTATGACTTACTAACCCTGAAAAAAATACAGACACTCACAAACACAGGCAATGAACTTACAAAGAAGATGTGGGAAATATAATAGGAAGGTTTAACTTTGCAATTTAAAGTTCTTCAGTTGTAAAAATGACCTGGGTCCTAACTGTTAAGTTGTGTTTTGTTTCTTCAGCAGTTTTCAGACAATCTTGAGTTCTTGGCTATTTTTCCCAAGTTGCTTTTTTGCCAAGTGCTTGTTTTTAAGGTTAATGAGAAAGAGGGGCATGAAGAAGGAAAGGGTGTCTCTAGTTTTGCTTTATGAATTGATTTTCCTTGTTCCTACTCTACTGCTCAAAAGCAGCTATTGAACTACAGTTCATTGTGCATCCCAGAGTCTTGTTCTAATGGGCAGAATCTTGTATGGGTCTGAGGGACTTGGGCTGTGGTGAGATTTGTGGTAGAATCATGTGAGAAATCCAGCAAGGCCTATCTCAATGTCTAGAACATCTTGCTCCACCTGTAATGCTTTTGCTGAGTGAAAAGGCAAGTTTCTTGCTGGGCAGTGGTGAGTCACCAATAAACAGGGATTGTAGCTTCTTAAATGCCTTATTAACAGCCCAATTGACCCATGACAATGCTGTCACTTTAAAAACATTACTTTCTCCTGAGTTTTTTTGAAGAGAGGTTATAAAGGCGGAGGCACTGAACTGATTACTGGAGATGGCCCAAGTCAACAATTTAGGAGGCCTTTAGGTGATTGGTTTTTTCTTAAAATCATTTGTAACAATGGAAGGGTGTGGTCAGTTCTCATAGGCTAGACTTTCTAGTTGTTTTTAGCTGTAGCAGCCAGAAGCTGTTTGGGGTCCTAGAAGGGTTGAAAGCTTAAGTAAATGACTCCTAACTACTACATTTTCTGAAATCCCTCTTGATGTTGTTTCCTACTGGATTGGAGAACTGCATGTAAGAATCTGTGTCTGTATTTACCTTTTTGCCAAGGGGTGTGTTTATGGGATGTTACTATATTGGAACAGTTTATTAGTAACACATATTGTATCTATTATTCAGTTAAGCTTTCCAATAGTTCGGGTATTCTAAATTCCTCTTTCTTTTGCTTGTATTTTAACTATAGTGTTTATATAAATTGTGTTCTGCTTAATGTCAAGTAGCTTGAACCTCAGATTGCATCTGGAACATGCACTTCATATCTACCCTTAAAATCAGAAAAAGTTAGGGTCTAAACTACCTTCTTAAAATATTTTGAGGGGGCCTGGTCTGGTCCATAACACACCTCATTAATATACAGCTTCTGATCTTACTTAACATGCTAGATGGTAGACGTTCAGAAATCTCAACATGGAAATCAGAGCAGGTATCTGGCAAGTTCAGCTCACTGTTTGGTCGAAAGGACTTCCATGTTGGGAAAGCATCGAACACCAATGAAAGGAGCGTGCTGCCATACCGATGCCCCACCCACCCCTTCCGACAACCACCACCTGCTCCAAGTGTAACACAGCCTGCAGTAGCCATATCGGTCTGTACAGCCTCTTACAGAATCACCCTGACAGTGGAACAGAGTCATTCTCGTCTGCGAGGCACCGCCAGTGATGATGATACTAACTTGCATGATATTTTTCCTGTGGTCACTGACTGGCTGGGAGTAAACTAAAAATGCTGGAAATCATATTGGGTCAGGCAGCATCCGTAGAGAAAGAGCAAGCTAAAGTTTTGAGTCTAGATGGAGTCATCTAGACTTAAAACGTTAGCTTGCTGGCACACAGCTAATCTTATTTCTTATGTTCTTCCACTCATTCTCAATCCAGATAGAGGGAGTCATACTTCCCAACTGAATGGGAGAAACATATACTTACAGTTGTGTAAAAAAATGACATAATTCAGAGCTTCTACCAAAATGTCAATATTAGAAAAGATAAGTATATCATATTATACATTTTAAAACAGAATTTACAAAATAAGGCAAACATCAATTCATGTTATAAAATGAAACACTGATAAAAATTAAACACTTTTCCATCAATTTAATCAAATCAATAAGCCAGCTTTCAAAATGCACTAGCTTTATTAACCGTAATTTGTTCAGATTTAATGAAATCTTAAGACAATACAAATAAATCATTGCATGAGTGCATAATACCAGTTAACCATTCATGATTTTGTACATTCCACAATTAAAATCTACCAATATCTTTTCATTCAGACTGTGTAAAAAGTTGTTGAGAAATTTGTTTTTCAATGCACAATATTCTCCCACACCCTTCTACTTCTTCAGTGTTTGATACAATTTTATGAGATCTACAAAATCAAGAATGGGAATCTTGGTTAATTTTCCATTTCTAAGGCATGGTGCTGAGGCTATGTGTTGAGATCAGAAAAGGCAACACACACCAGAAATCAAACTTTGGTGCTTCCTGAATTGTATAGCTTAGATACTCATGAGGTTATCTTGCTCAACCAATTATTAAAGAAAAAAAAGATTTCACATCTTCGCACAATTGCAATGATTTTGCAACTTTTACATTTATTAATATTTTTCTATTGTAATTCCAATTATAATAGAGAACAAAAGGCTTTAAGTGCACTAGTGAGCTATTCATGTTTTTAACCCCACAATTTGGAGATCATCCTTTTTTGTCTTCAGGTCTTCTAGAGTTTTGTATCCTTTGGCTGAAAACTGATTCTTCTCCAACCTTAACCAGAAATGAGAAATATGGTAAGAAATTAAATTTATAAATAGAAGACTTATTGACAATGCAACTGGTATGATACCTAGATTGTCTCCTACCACAACTTCAAGAGGTACTAGCAAATAGGTAGAGATATGACTAGATGCTTTGTGGATTGATGGTGATCAGGAGATCTTTCCACATGCAGCACCTTCTCCTTTGATGGCCCCATTGTAGGGGTGGGAAGTTTAAATCCCCTTCCAATTTTAATGATATTGGGCCACTTCAGCAAATAGACATTATGCACAGACTGTCAGAGGAGATGTGAGCCATGAGTGACTCTAGTCACAAGTGGGATATTGAGAAAAAAAAAAATTGGTTGCTCCTAGAATTCTTTCATTGATAGCCTTTGAAATACAAAAGGAATGTTCTTTTAGTTTCAATTCTATACTGTACTGAAAAGCATATACGTCTGGCATCTCTGGTGCAGTAACCTGAAGTGATTTAAATGTCAGAGTCATAGGTAGGTAGGAAAGTAATTTGACATAAGGACCCTACAAAGGGATACAGCTAAGTTTACTGAGTTGGCAAAGATCTTGCAAATTAAGTTCATTATAAAAAAGTGTGATAGAGAACAAAGAACAGCACAGGAACTGGCCCTTCAGCCCACCAAGCCTATGCCAATTCCTAATCTTTGTGTAGTTACGCTACTTATTGCCTGTATGCAATTTATTTGCCTCTGTTTGCCTCCCGTTCACATGCCTATGAAGATAAATATTAAACATTGCTAATGTGCCTCCTTCTACCACTTCCACTGGCAGTGTTACAGGCACCCACCACACTCTGTGTGAATACTCTTCCCTACATTTCTCCTCTAAACTTTCCCCCTCTCATCATTAACCTATGTCCACTTGCAGGTGCCCTTTCCAGCCTGGGGAAAATCCTCTGTCTATCCAACCTATCTAAGCCTCCCATAATTTTGATTACCTCTATCAGGTCATCCCTCAGCCTCCATCTTTCTGGTAAAAACAATCCAAGTTTATCCAACCTCTCCTCATAGCTAAAACCCTCCAGACCAGCCAACATCCTGTGAAACTTCTCTGCACCCTCTCCAAAGCATTCATGTCCTCCTGGTAGTGTGGCGACCAGAACTGCATGCAATATTCCAAATCTGGCCTAACTAAAGTTTTATACAGCTGTAACATAACTTGCCGACTTTTGTATTCAATGCCCTCGCCAATGAAAGTGAATGTGCTGTATGTCCTCTTGACCATTGGATTTTTATTTATTTGTGGGATGTGGCGGTTGCTGGTGGGCCAGTCTTTATTGCCCATCCCTAGTTGCCTTTGAGAAGGTGGTGGTGAGCTGCCTTCTTGAACCGCAGCAGTCTACCTGCTGTGGGTTGACCCACAATGCCTTTAGACAGGGAATTCCAGGATTTTGACCCAGCGACACTGAAAGCGCTGTAATATATTTCCAACCCAGGATGGTGAGTGGCTTGGAGGGAACTTGTAGATGGTGGTGTTCCTATGTATCTGCTCCCCTTGTCCTTCTAGATAGATAATTTGCACCTGAATTTGATCTTTCAAAATATATCACCTTGGATTTGTCTGGATTACAATTCATCTGCCATTTCTCTGCCCAAATCTGTGATCTATCTACATTCTGCTGTATCCTCTGACAGCCCTCCTCATTATCTGCAACTCCGCTAACTTTGGTGTCATCCGGAAACTTACTAATCAGACCACCTACATTTTCCTCCAGATTATTTACATATATTGCAAACAACAAAGGTCCCAGCACTGATCTCTGCAGAGCACCACTAGTTACTGTCTTTCCCTGCACAAATCCATGCTGCCTATCACTCATACATCCATTCACTTTCAAACGTGAAAAAATCCTGTCTCTCAGTATCTTTTCCAACAGCCTCCCCACCGCTGATATCAGGCTCACCAGCCTTTAATTATCTGGATTATCTTTGTTTCCCTTCTGAAGCAAAGGAACAACATTGATTGTTCTCCAGCAGCTGAACCTCGCCTGAGGCCAAAGAGGATGCAAACATATCTGTTAAGGCCCCAGCTATTTCCTCCCTTACCGCCCACAGTATCCTGCGATAGATCCCGTCTGGTCCTCGGGACTTGTCTAGCTTAATGTATTTCAAGACACCCAACGCTTCCTCCTTCATTATGTTGACCTGCCCAAGCATAATCACACACCTTTCCCCAGCCTCAAAATTCTTCAAGTCCCTCTCTTCGAGGAATACTGATGTAAAGTACTCAAGGATCTCACCCACTTCCTCTGTCTCTACACATAATCTCTCTCCTTGAGTGGGCCTACTCTTTCCCTAGCTGCCTTCTTGCTCCTAAAATATGTATGAAATGCCTCGGGACTCTCCTTAACCCTGTTGTCCAAGTCCATTTTGTGGTCTCTTTTAATCCTCCTAACTCCCCGTTTGAGCTCCTTCCCACTTTCAATATATACTTCAAGGACTTTGTCTGTTTATAGTTCCTTAGATGTTAAATATGCTTCCTTTTTTTTGACTGAGCTGATAATTTCCTCTGTCATCCAAGGTTCCTGAATCCTGCCATTCCTATCTTTCATTTTCACAGGAACATGTCTGTCCTGCACTCTAATCAACTGGTCTTAAAAAGATGTGGATTTACCCTCAAACAGCTGCTCCCAATCATATTGTCCAATTCTTGCCTAATTCAGTTATTGTTGGCCTTCCCCCAATTTAACACCTTCATCTGAGGTTGACTCTTATCCTTATCCAGAAGTATCTGAAAACTTCTGAAATTATGGTCACTATTCCTAAAATTCTCGCCCACTGAAACTTTGATCACTTAGCCAGGCTCATTTCCTAATACCATGTCCTGTATGGCCCCTCCATCACTGGATTATCCATGTACTGTTTCAAAAAACCCTCCTGGAAATACCAAACAAATTGCTCCCCATCCAAACCCCCAGCACTAAGGGAGTTCCAGTGAATACGGAGGAAGTTAAAATCACCCACCACAACAACCTTGTTATTTTCATATCTTGCAAGAATCTGATTACATATCTCTTCCTCTATCTCCCACTGGCAGCTGGAGGTCTGTAGTACAATTGTGTAGTACACCTTTCCTATTCCTGAGCTCTACCCATAATGCCTCACTGCAAGATCTCCCCCAGGATGTCCTCCCTGAACACAGCTGTGATATGCTCCCTTACTAGTAATACAACTGTCCCATCTCTTTTGCTTCCTCCCTTGTCTCATCTAAAACATCAATATCCCGGAATACTATACTGCTGATCATATCCCTCTTTCAACCATGTCCTGTGATAGTAACAACATAATTAGTGCATGCAGTTAAAATGAAAATAAACGAAAAAACACTTTAGCAGTTTTCACTTAGAGAAGAAAAGGCCTTTTTTTCATTTCTGTAGACTCAATTGTTTAGATTTTCCAGAGCTTGTTTCAGCTGAGCCCAATATGAATGTTTGGCCTTCTTTCAGAAGGTCCAGAACCCCTTCTTTCCATAGGGCTGGAGGTGGTGGTTACTAATATTTTCATTGAAGACTCATTGATGTGGCTTGTGAAGTAAATGCCTGGTTTGTTTTTACAACAGATGGACCACTTGAGGAGATCTACATTTTTAATGTGTTTTATGAATGAGAATCCTTTCTCAGTGGAAGTAAGAGCTCGATCAGATTGCTTCAACTTTAATTTTCCTTCATCTCTATTTCAGAGACATAATTCTTGAGGTCTGCCCATAGTTATTTCTGGGTAACTGGCTATGGGAGATACAGGTGGCATGGGCAGTATGAGGAGATAATGGGTATAAGAGTAAGCACGGAGAATATGACGGCGATGGAGGAAAGGAGGGAGCATGGTAGTGCATAAAGGATGGGTGAGCAATGATGGTGAGGGTTTGAGGGCATTACAATCATTATTATAACTGAGCAGCTGAGCTGAGGAGGACGTCTCAGACCGCTGGACATCTGCACAACTCTGTTAATACACCAGATCTGTATTGCGAGGCTGTGCACCTGAGTATATTGCATTTCCAACACCCTGACATGACAATATGGCAGACAGGAGCATTTTTAAAGGTGACAGCTCTGAGTTTCCCAACTTGACCTTTCTGTTTTAGCTAAAAAAAACTGGCACCCTGTCCAATTACTCAGAGATTGCTCTTTCCTTTTCAAAGGAAGTAATTGACAAGGCTGAGCTAGAGGAAGTGATTTCCCAAGCAGAATCTCTCTTTCTCTTCATGGAAGGGAATGGAGTGCTGGTATGATGTCAGTATATTATCTGAAAGAAAGCAAGCTTCCCTTCACAGAAAGTGTGTACAAGCCCAAATTGATGAAAGGCAAGCAGCTTAGATTCTCAAATAATTTTAAATTAAAAAATAATAATGCAACTTGGTTCACCCAATTGGGGATGGATATGAGGTGGCAGGTGCAGGTGTTTTCGATAGGAAAGGATGGATGAAAACTCAAAGTGATGCTTTACCTACTCGATAATGAAATTCCCTGAAATTAAACCCTGCAAACTGAATAGCAGCATTTGACAGAACAGCCCAAAGCATAACAAGATCTTTCGTTGTTGATTTGTTTATGTTTGAATCAATAACTACAAAGTAAAACAAAGTTTACATCCCTAAGTTATTTATCCTTTATCCTGCTGGGTGTTTAATTCGTGTTAACAAGTTCAGTGGCACATTGCAAGAAATTTGAACATTTTTCTTCACACAACTTTAAATTATAAGTAAAATTCTACTTATCGTCAAATGAAATATTTGGACTTTTCAGGTGACATCATTCAAAATTAGGGACTCAGAATTTTTCTCTAGTGATTACCTTTGGCAAGAGATAGTGTACACTGTTATGCGTCTCTATTTTTCCACTGATCTCAACACAAGTGACATATATAAGGCTAAAGAAATTTTAGGGTCTGTGATGACAATTTGACAGTAATTGTTTCAACAGGGACATCCAGAACTCAAGTTGGACTGAAGGGTCTGTTTTCGTGCTGTATAACTGTATGACTCTATAGTACAAATTGTGTTAATAAGTATCCGAACGTGACCATCAACTGATACTTTGAATGATGGCGAATTTAAAGCAGGAAATGTACCTCAACCGGAATGCTCTTTTGATCTGATACTACATTAAACTTATTTCTTTCACTGGACCAATCAACTTTAATATGAGGGGAGCTTCTCAGTACCATTTGCATCTTTATTAGAAACTTACCTTTAAGAGGGGAATCTAAAATGGAAAAGCAGGATCTCAAAAGAAATGGAAGGCCATCAGGCAAGAATGGATAGTTATAGCTGCTTCATCAAATAACCGGGTTCTCAAGTATTTCAGCTTTTTCATTTAAATTTTACTCAGAAAAATAAAACTAGGGTGTAGTATGATCTAAACTGGGAATTTGTATGTACATTTTTTAATGTTAATTGCTGTAAGCTTGGATTTCTGGATTTGAGTTAGTAACTTGTGGGTTTTTCTGTGTTGTCTGAGTTTAATACCTAGCTTGTAAGTATTTTGTAACCAAGGTGATTTCTTTTAAATGCAGTTTTGATGCCCACGCTGCACAGTGAATGAATTTTGTGCACTAATGAGCTTTTGTTTATTGCAGCTAAGCATGGTAAAAAATGTGTCTTCAGAAGCTTGTTAGACACTTCTGTAGCCTTTTTTTAAGCTTAAGAGAAACACCTGTAAGCTAAGAGAAGAAGCCATTCCTTTCACTTTTAACCTTGGATAGTGTTAGCCCTGTGAAGACCTTCAACAGATGGCCATATATTTCTGACAGATTTAGTGAATTAGTTTACTTCGAGGTAAAAACCTCATCCCAGACCAAAAATGTTGGGATAAAGACCCTGAAAATTTAACTTAAAGCTGAATACAGTGAAGCTCAGGTGTGTTATAGCTCCGGGAAGAAGGTCTGTGCAATTCTAGTGAAGTTGCATGTGATTCAAACCTACTGAGGTGGTAGGTGCAGGGACTCTAATGTGAGTATTATATGAGTGGTGTTTTGGGTATTATACAAAAGCTTTTTTTCAATTTGTCAAAGAGTGTTTTGAGATTAATGGGTTTGAACTTTTATAGTGCAGTTAACACTTTTGAATTTGTACTAGAAGTAGATAGTTTCGGTTATTCTATTTTATCGTCATTCCATTTGTAATAAACTTCCATTTTGTTGTTAAAGCAAATTATGCAGAATTGCATGTACATGTTCAGCAAGAGACCACTTTGTTAAAACCAAAACAAATAAAAATGTGATTCTATCAAGCCAGATTCCTGGAATCTGGCTTGTCTAGTAATGACATCTGCTAGGACCATAACTGTAGGTAAGAGGCCAACCAAAGAAATGGGCTAGACCCAATGAAAAGAACTGGACATGGCTGAGAGCTAAATTCAGCAATCCCACATACTAATTCAATTTTTGGCAGGCTAGCCAAAATTGTAGCTGAAGGTCCAACGTTTAACCAATGCAACTTAATGAGAACATTTCATGTTTTTGTCGACCTTGCCATTCTATTCATGAACAATATTGCATTCATATTACATGTAATTTTAACTACAAATGATTCAATATGGCCAAAAAGAACATAATTTAATTATGTCAGAAGTAAAAGAGAAGCTATCTCTTTAAGTGGACACTTTACATAATAGAGTTCTCAAGTACAACTGGATTTTGACCCTAGGTGTACATCTCAATCGGAATATACTTGGCAAATAGAACTATTAATTTTGTCTTTCATTAATAACGAGGTGACACCTCACCTTATGGTCTTTAGCTTGACACAAGACAAAATGAATTCAGAAAAGCTTTGAACAGATTTGTCCGTAAATTTGTTATGACTTAAATCAAGTTCCGCTAGTTCCTGCAATGTTGCAAATGTGGCTTTGAGATCAATTGACCAGGCATCTGTGAGATTAGTTTTCGACAATCTAAGAGGAACAGAAATATAAAACATGACAGAAATAAGTTCCAAACTTCTGAAGAAAAAAGGTAGAATCATACCTAAATGTTGAAATTATAAGGTGTGAAATATGAAATGTTCACATGAACGCATTTGTCTACAATTTTACAAATGTGTCAACTCATTTGTTTTGACAGCGTTAAACAGGTATTTTAATGCTTACAGTAAAAGTAAACAGCATACTTCTCTCGTACGAACCTTGAACCAGCTGAACCTTGTACATCCTAGAGGTTTGTGTCAGCAGCAATCTGTAGGTGGACCTTGTAAAAATTGAACAAATATAGTGTAGAGAGGCCTCAAAGTCATGAGACATTTAGAGACGGAGGTGACAGACACTGATGAGAATGTGGAAAACTTTGCCAGACTCTGATAAGCTTAAATGGTACTTGACTGGGTGAAGTAGATATCGACATTAACCTATGATTTAGAATAGATATCTACGCTAATATGAAACAAGACTGGATAATGAGGATATATATGTGAGTGGAATGTTATAATAATACTGAGCTTCTCTGTATCTGAGTTCTATCCCAGTCTAGCTGGAGAGATACTGTCCCTGTGCTTGCTGAATACATGAAGAGAAAACACTCTGCAAAGAGAAAAAGATCAGTTCAGCCAAACATAGGTCCCTTACTTTCAGAAAAAGGGGAAGTTATAATGGGGAACAAAGAGATGAGTGAACAATTAAGTACATATTTTTGGTGATAACACAGTATGGAGCTGGAGAAGCACAACAGGCCAGGCAGCAGGACAGTTGACGTTTCAGGTCAGGACCCTTCTTCAGAAATGGAGGAGGGGGAAGGGAGCTCAGAAATCAATAAAGAGAGGAGGGGTGGGGTTGAGGAAGGTAGGTGGGATGGTTATAGGTGAGTACAGGTGGGGATTGGTCAGTGAGGTGTGGGAGAGAAGATGGACAGGTTGTGTCAGGTCAAGGAGGCCTAAAAATGGAATTTCAATGTTCACATTGTGTGGATATTGAATACAAGATATTGTTGTGGGATCAATGTCTCAATAGGTTTATTCCCGGAACATAGGCGAGCATCAAAGGTCAATGTGAATTAAATGGATTGTTCATGTATTAAAGTTTAACACCTCGTTTTTACATACCCAAGCTTTTGCAATTTATAGCTTGAATCCTTCAGTGAAGATAGCAGCATGGTCACTCCATCATTGCCCAATTCATTCATGCTCACATCCAATTCTGTCAGGGTCTGGTTGGTGTTGAACACAGAAGCAAGTCTTGCACAACAATCACTTGTTAGTTTAGCATTTGCCACCCTGTGAAAATAAAGGATTAGAAATGCAAGATTTCAAAATTACCCAAAACAGATGTTGAATCTGAACTTGTTCTTTAGCTCCTATTTGGCAACTGACTCTTTCAATACGTTTGGCTAAACAAGCAATATTTCCACTGCCAATGACTCTAAATTGTGTTTCTTACATATGATGGCTTCTTACTAAAATATGAACAGGAGGAATCATCTGATATTTTCAATCTGAGGGGACAGTGCAGATATGACTTCTGCAGACATGGCAACTCCACAGTCACTCCAAGACACTTCCTTGGGCTGGGGTTAACTATGTAAAGATTCATTTCTGACAGTAAGGGGTGTGCCTGCCAGGGAGGAAGTGATATGACAATGTTAGAGGTGACTAACCTTGAATTTTCCATCCAGTCCTTTGGTAGAGCTGTTGATTTCATCTGATGAAAGGCAGGGGCCTTCCTAACTTCAAAAGGAATTACAATGGGCCGACACTCCTGCCCTCAACATATGCTGCCACCTTTCTCTTGACAGTGCCTGCATTAATTCACTGCAGTTATAGAAAGATCATTGTGTTCCCACATTTTGTTAGCTACAGGTAGTGAAGTGGTACTGGCTCAGGCATCCAACACCCTTACAATATGTAGAAGCCCTTGCTGCTGGATTTCCCTTTGTTTTGACACTGCAATGCCAATTTCAAGTAGCATGTTGCAGCAAAATATGACACATTTCCAGGTACTTACTTTAATGATTGAATTTTACAGCCTTTCTCTGTTAGAATGTCACACAATGCAGCCATTCCTTCATTTTGTAGATTGTTAGAACCAAGGTCCAGCTCTGTCAGTATCTGATTTCCTTTCAGGGATTTGATGAGCTCAGCACAACAATTTTCTGTGAATGAATTCTTTGCCAATCTATAATGCAAACAAAATGTCGTAAGCTTGAAATGAAACATGTACATCAAGAAAGTCAACTGGAAGTTATTGAAAAATAATTCATTGAAAAATAATTCACAACTCAAAGTTTTAAAATACAGGCACAGCCTGTTAAACAAAATGTGAATTGTCAGACTGCACAAATGGGGATGTAGACAAAGACACATACTTTTTTTTATAGAATCCCTACAGTATGGAAACAGGCCCTTCAGTCCAACAAGTCCACACTGAACCTCAGAGCATCTCACCCAGGCTCATCCCCCTATAATCCACCTAATCTACACATCCCTATGGGCAATTTAGCATGGCCAACTCACCTAGCCTGTACATCTTTGCACTGTGGGAGGAAACCCACACAGACACAGGGAGAATGTGCAAACTCCACAGACAGTTGCCTGAGGCTGGAATTGAACCTGAGTCCCTGGTGCTGTGAGGCAGTAGTGCTAACCACTGAGCCACCATGCTACCCCTTATACATATATACACACATATCAAGAGATTTTTCTTCTGTTTGAGTAGGAGAATGTAGGTAGTTGTAAAGTAAACTCACCCTAGACTCTGTAATGTACAATTTTTGCTTTTCAGTATATCACAGATTACCCCAGCTCGAGAAGCATCCTCATAGGTGCCCATTATTCCAAACTCAAATGCAAATATGGAATTTAACCTTAACAGAATACAAATAAGTTTGAAAATAAAATAAACTTCGACTTTTGTGATTGATTATTTTGAATTACAACATTTGTTTAATCCTGCAAAGAAAATGACATTTGATTCAGACGAATTATGAGCATTCATTCCCAACATTTTACAATAGGATAGCTAATTTGTCTTCCACATTGTTTGAAGTGTCTGAGGACAACTTTCAACTAACAATCTTTCAATGTTGGTGGCTAAGATGAGGTCTTGAGCTGAAATGCCATTTTAGTAAAGGAGTTAAAGCCACTGTGAGGAATGGCTGCCTGGTGGCTCATCAAAGAGATAATTATCACTTAAGATGCTGCTGAGGCTCAGTCAAGAGGTTGAACAGTATCTTAAGGGATTTTGCATAATTGAATACCCTCTCCTAAACAGTGGTGAGCTGTTTAGGAATATGTATTTTGTTGATAGTAATTTCAAGGATAGTCATTATTTTTAAGTCATTGTTGCTGGATAAATGAAAAGGAGCAGTGGTACACTGTGAAAGACTTTGTAAAATTCATTCATAGGATGTACGCAGCACTGGTTGGCCAACAGTTACTTCTGATCATTATTTGACTTTGAAAAGAGGCTGGGGAGTTGCCTACTTGAATCACTGCAATTTGGTGCAACACTTTGTCAAAACTTCAGCATCATTTCAGAACCATTTAGTGCGGTAATTCTCTCAGGATTTCACTAAAAGAATGAACACCATGTTATTCCACTTTATTCAGCACTTTTAGACCCACAGGGTAAAGGAGTGCCTGGTCCTGGGCCTCCATGTAGGCTGGCTCCCTTAGTCTGGCATAGATGTCAAGGCAGAGCTGTAGGAAAAACACAAGGGGAGGAGGGAGAAGTAATGCTCTTCTCCCTGACATGTACATCATATCCATCCTCCTTTGATCCACCTTCACCAGGTCCTCCAGTGCCTCATCTCTGCACCCTGTCTTTTGGTCCCTACATAATCCATACTGTCAGCCAAAACACTCCACACTTTGGGCTGGATTTTATGTTGCCCCAGTGGACGTGTATTCAGTGGGGGCAGGGGAAGATATGTAAAATTGCCTGTCACCTTCCTGCCCGCCCCCATAATACACTAGGTAGGTGTGTACTGAAATCAGCTGACTGACCACTATAGTAAAACAGATAATTAAAGCTCAGTTAAGCTTGTTATTGTGCCCATTCACCTGGATAATAATCTACACAGCTGTTACCATTGCTTTTTTGCCAATCACCTCAAACTGATGCCCTCTGGTTCTTGATACTTTTGCCAATGGGGAGGTTTCCCTCGTTCAACTCTGTCTAGATCTCTTATGAGTTTGAACACTCTAACAAACCTCCACCCAACTTTCCCTTCTCTAAAAAGAATGAACCCAACCTCTCCAATTCAACCAACCTTGGAACTAAAGTCTTTGAGGCTGTAATCTTATTACAACCTGAGTTCAAACATGAACAAAACAGCTCAGTTCCAGAGGTGAGGTAAGAGTGACTGCCCTTGATATCAAGACTGCATTGACTGAAGCATCAATGAGCTCTACCAAAACTAGAGTCAATGGAAATCAGGGAAAACCTCATGCTGGTTGGAGTCATTCCTGACACTTACGAAGTTGGTTGTGGTTGCTGCAGGTCAGTCATCTCAGCTCCAGGATATCTCTGCAGGAATTCCGTAGGATTGTCCTTAGGATGGCCCAACCATCTACAGCTCTTCATCAATGACCTTTGTTCCATCATAAGGCCAGAAGTGGAGATGTTTGCTGATGCTTGCACATCGTTCAGCAGCATTTGCGACTGGCACTCAGACAGTGAAGCAGTCCGTGTTCAAATGCAACAAGGCCTGAACAATATCCAAGCTTGGGCTCACAAGTAAATTCATACCATGTACACATGTGCCAGGCAATGACCACCTCAATAAGGAGACTCTGGCCATTGTCCCTTGACATTCAGTGGCATAATCAAACAGTGTCCTCGACTTTATTAATCGGAGGTTTGTGTACAGCTGCAAGCAGGTGATGTTGAACTTTTTAAGACACTTGTTGGACCTCAGCTGGACTGTTATGTACAGTTATGAGTGCTACATTATAAGTAAGCTGTGAAAGCATTGAAGACATTGCAGAAGGGATTTACAAGAATGGTTTTAGGAATGAGAATTTTCAATTGTGAGGACAGACTGAAGAAGTTGGGACTATTCTCCTTGGGGAGAAGAAGGCTGACTAGATTGATAGAAGTTTTTAAATCATGAGCAGATTAGCTAGAGTTGAACAAAAAAGGAACAAGAACAGAACAGCATAGCTTTAAAGTAATATGCAAAAAAAGTAAGGATAAAGTGAGAAAAAAAAAACTTTTTCACAGTGAGTAGGGTACGGAATCCACTGTCTGGAAATATGGTGGAGGCAGATTCAATTGAAGCATTCAAAAGGGTATTGAATGATTATTTGGGTGGAAATAGTATGTAAAGTTATGGGGAAAGAACAGGAGATTGGCTGTAGGTAATCATGCTTGTTTGAAGAGCTAGTGCAGGCATCAGGAGTTGAATGACCTCCTTCTTCCCATTTCTGTGATTCTATAAAAGAAAACTATGGTGTACTGAATCATAAGCCTAGACCAATGCCTCCATCCAGATGAGTTCAGGTCATATTTAGAGTATACCAGGGAAAGTGCAAGTTCACATACCTGCAACCCTTTGGTTTCTGCATTCCTGCTAGAATTGTGCCATTTTGTTTATATCGCCTCACCTTATACTTCCTACCAAAATATATCATTTCATATTTCTCTGTAATAATTTTCATCTGCCATATGTCCCTGCATTCCAACAGTCTGTATTTTGTCATCTTGAAGTTTATCATTAACATTTTCACAATTCACAATACTGTCAAACTGTGTTTCTTCTGCACATTTTGAAATTATAACCTTCAGGCCCAAGTCTACGCTATTAACATATATTAAGAAAGGCAGAGGTCTTAATACAAAGCCTAAAGAACACCACTATATTTATTTGTACTCATTCACAGAATGTGCATGTCATTGGCTCAGCTATCATCTAATGTCTTTTTTGTAAATGCTCTTAAGAAGGTGGTAATTACTAGCCTTTTCTAGTCACTGCAGTTCATGGAGGGTAGGGACACCCACATTGTTGTCAGGAGTTCTAGGATCTTGACCCTCGAGAATGAGGAAATGCAGATATAGTTCCAAGTCAGGCTGGTGCATGACTTGGAGGGAGACCTACAGATGGTGATGCCCCTGCACATCTTCTGCCCTTGTCTTTCTAGATGAAGGCGGTTGTAGCTTGGAAGGTTTATGCAAACCTGCCCTGGTGAGTTGCTGCACTGCATTGTGTAGATGGTACATACTGCCACCACTATGCATTGGTGGTGGAGGGAGTGAATATTTAAGTTAATGGGATGTCCATAAATGGGTTGCTTTGTTCTGGATGGCATCAAGATTCTTGAAAGGTGTAGGAGTTGCAATCATCAAGGCAAGTGGGGAATATTCCATCAGACTCCTGACTTATGGCTCGTATTTTACAGACAAGCTTTCGGATTTAAGAGGTGAGCTGCATGATTCCCAGCTGCTGACCTGTCATCGAGCCAATGTATATGGATGGTGCAGTAAAGTTCCTGATCAATGCTAACACCCAGGATGTTGACAGTGTGGGCTTTAGCAATGGTAATGCCATTGGTTGTAAGGGGAGATGTTTTGATTCTCTCTTGTTGGTGATCATTGATGGTCATTGCCTAGCACTTGTGTGGTGTGAACGTTGCTGGCTACACGTTGGTAAAGTGACAGAAGCACAGTGTTTATAGCATGTTATCATTACAAATTTACTGATAAATAACTTGAAGCAATTTATGTACAGTTAAGATAAAAGAAAAACTCAAGATCTCAGAAACTCAAAAAAGAAACAAAGATGTGAACACCACTGATGGAAAACTTTAACAATGATTACATACCCGAGTTTTTGTAATTTACAATTTTCATTCTTCAGTGCTTTGGAGAGTTCTTGTAGTCCATCCTCACCTATTCTATTATGACTCAGGTCCAGCTCTACCAGAGTCTTGTTTGTACCAAGCATAGTAGCCAAGTCCTTACAACAACTGGATGTTAGTTTATTACCACCAACACTATGGAGATAAAGAAAATACTTTTCAACACAAAATGCCAGAAGCACTAAAAGACACAAATGTACTATTGCTGCAGTCACAATTTGCATGTTAACGCAATTCTCCCAGCTGATTCCTATTCATTCAGCCATCTTGACAGACACAATTAAAATAGTACTTTATTTTTGATGACTTGGCGATCGACCCCACAAAGTTTGAATATCAACAAGAATCCCCTAATTGCATTATCTATTTTCTGATTTCAATTCCTCTCTTAAATTGGGAATCCTGTGCCAAGAGTGCAGGTGAGTATGAAATAAAGGCAGATACAAGACAGGAAAAGCACTGTTTGCTTCGATTTTTGAAAATTACTTTCTCTTCTAAATAACCTCAATATAAAAATGTAATTTGTTATAATAGTATAAATCTACTGCCATGATGTACAGTCACAAGGTACAGGTTTCGTAAAGAACTGCATGGTGGGCCTCAGAATTGGCTCCCAAGAATCACCTGACTTTACCGCTGCACTGTGCCAAGTTTCTTTTCAGTTTTCAGCAGATTACAATTAAATAAAGTCAGCATGTAAAGAATTTTGAAATTTAGTGTGCCCTCAAACAGACAATGGCTTTCCCTGGAGATGAGAACAACTCTTTCTTCTCTCAGCAAACATGGAAACATGGGGCATTCAATTAGTGGTTAGAAACTTGTAGAATTAATGACATAAAGTAAGAGATGATGGATAAAGTTAAGTTCTAGGCCAAGCCTAACTCACTTCCTCATCAAAAATCAGGATTTGATAGTTTGGGACAGTGTCAATCTTTGGGTTTCATGCTCACTAAAAAGGCAAGAAGAAGGTTACCTGATATGCTTCATGCATTTCTATATCTTAGCCCATACAACGTGTATCACAAGGAATTAGGTTTGTAGTGAATCATGTATCTGGACATTTAAAAACAAATAATCATGCACTAATACAACATCTGAGGCTTACATATGTAGTCTGCATTATGTGATTATTAGATTTCAATTACATCATATCCATAGTTGACTGACTGGCTGCTTGCTTAACTGCTGGCTACTAACTAAATGAATGAATGAACACAGAGTATGATGGAGCCTTTTATACTACAGCATCACATGTTCTGGATGCCTTCAAGGTACAGGGCCTTTCTGAGATCTGTACAGTGATATAACACTGCCTACTTAAGAACTATCTTGAAACATGATGAGACAAACATCATGAAGGGAAACTATTCTAAATCTAAGGCAGCACGACAGAGGCACAGTGAGGAAAAATAACTGTCTAAGACATTTTCAGCCTTACTACAGTAAGGGGCTGGAAACCATGGAACTTCTTGGGCTGGCTGCCTGACAAGAAATGTAGGCTGTAAACATCAAGAGTACTGAAATTGTATTATGCACCTCCGAATGGAACATGGTGCACAAAGTAAAGTTTATTTCTATTGCACTTTCTGTCATTTTCAATTTGTAATTCTTGCTCTCAGGCTGTATAACTCACATGGAATGTGCATTTTAAATAACATGACATTGAGGCATCTAAGAGTGCAACATGCTGCATGAAGTTATGTTAAATTTTATTGCATTTCCTGAAATTTTCAAACTGAAATATCTTTTAACGTCAATCTACAAATTTTATGAATAAAGTATATTTTTGGAAAATGCCTGCAACAGGGAGAAAAGCAAGAGGACATCCAAGGAATGGCTACTGGTCTGCTGTAAAGGAGCTGAACATCCAGAAGTGCTGCTCCTTCATAGCAAAAAACAAGGAACCTTCCATCTTCCTTGAAACCTGTTTCCAAATCCACCAAGCTTACCTGCTAAATCAAGCTCCAGCTATTTGATGCTGGAAGGCAAGGTAGCTGTGGAGAAAAGTCTACGATTTCAAAGCTTTCACTTTTGTCAAGTAACATTTCAACTTTAAAATATCAGGCTTGCATGAGTACCATAAAGACTGAAGTGATCCCATTTTTATAAATATAATTTATCTTTGTGCATCTGTGTTGCTAACTTCATTGTTTTTTAAAAACTTTGAGCGTGAGATAAACTAACATTTTCCTTTTCGGTTGAAAGGATTTCTGCAAGGTTAATTTATATTGAATTTTTGATTTCCAACAGTAACATATGTGCACATATACATACAAATCCATTGCTCATGTATGACCTGCAGGAAAACAATTTTAAAGCTTCCATTAAATATGAACAAAAAATAATGTATTTTTTATATTTATCTGATGTTTGCAACATAATTACAACCTTAAGAATTTGCTCACCTTAACATTTGTAGTGAGCACTGTTCACCTTCTAGCGCATTGCAAAGTAAAATGAAACCTTTGTCTCGTATATTATTATCACTCAAGTCCAAAAGGATTATTCTGTGGTTGACAGCCAGAGCAGCAACAAGTTGCTCACAACTTTTATGAGTAAGATTGTTTCCATCTAACCTACAGAACACAAAAAGATCAATAGTACATGGGAAAGTATCATTTAGAAGAGAGCATGCATTTTATTTTAAATACAAATATTCTTAAATACAAAGATATCGTCTCCATATCTGCCTTTTTTCTCTTGACAATGCTGAAAGTGTCCACAATAAAAAAGTGGCATCATAGCACTTTGCTTAATATTTTACACACAACATGTTCTAACTTACTTCACATTTTGTAATTTGCAATCCTGGCTTTGCATTACATCAGTGAGTATTTTCAGTCCAGAGTCTCTGATGTTGGCCCCAGATAACCTAAGTATGAACAAATTATAAATAAATACCAACAGCGTAAGCATAATTAAAACATGATTCATCACTTTTGTTTGACATTGTGTTACCGATGTAAATATAGGATATTTAAAAATGGCTTACATTTATAAATCACTTTTCCTGATGTCAGCATATTCCAAAGTGCTTTACAGATCATTATGTAAACTTAGAATTTGGTTATATTGGATTTCTCTTCTGAAATCTTTTGTTATGTTATATGATTCTCCACGGAGATATGTCCCGCTAATTTTTTTTACTGTGAATTATAACCAGTGGGAGAAAGCATTACAAATATTTTGATGATAATGTTTGTAGAGCATTCCTCCCAGCCAGTAATGTTTAGAAACCACGTTGAAATTTTCTATTGACTATTCTAGCCTGACAAATGGGTGGCCAGCCAAAGAAACTCTAGTGGGTACTTTGGAAACATCTTTGTCATTTAATTCTGCTGCAGGCATTTGCTGGTCTGATGCTTGTAATGAATATGCCTTTCATGTTTATAACTAATGTCATACAAGCTGAAAGGGTGGTTGGGTTGTCATAATCCTTATGATGAGATTTACACGCACTCATGGGAAATGTAGCCTGTTAGACACAAACCTGACTGCCCTGGTTGACCCATTGTCTCCGCCTGCTCCTGCCCCACCGAACTTATCTCCAACTATTTGGACTCCATTTTCTCCCCCTTGGTCCAGGAACTCCCTACCTACGTCCGTGACACCACCCACGCCCTCCACCTCCTCCAGAACTTCCAATTCCCCGGTCCCCAACACTTCATCTTGACCATGGACATCCAGTCCCTATACACTTGCATTCCCCATACAGATGGCCTAAAGGCCCTCCGCTTCTTCCTGTCCTGCAGACCCGACCAGTCCCCCTCCACTGACACCCTCATCCGCTTAGCCAAACTCGTCCTCACCCTCAACAACTTCTCTTTCAATTCCTCCCACTTCCTACAGACATTCGGGGTGGCCATGGGTACC